GCATTACAGAGTTTCAGGGATCTGGGTACATAAAAAGTTTTGTCCTTATAAACACAACAGAAATGTGTGGTCTAGGGTGATTGGAACCTGTTAACCGTATATCTGCCTATCCGTACCTCGTAAGTGCTGATTTCTGGGCTACTTTTCGCTCTAAGGTAGTTTAACTAACCAAGAACATTATATTGATTCTTTCGTGTGCCAGACATTGGCTCCTGGCTGAGCATATCATTGTTTTAAATGTGGGAAATGGCTGCAGTACCAGGGGTGGTTATGGTTCTAGAGGCCAGGGTTGGGTGCTACAGGAACACCAGGGGTGGGGTAGTAATTCTCACTCCTTAGGGCAGGGGCACAGGTGAACCATGCTCTAAGGATGTGGGTGGGCTTTCTAGGTGCGGAGGGGAGGCTGCAGCAGGCAAGGAGTCACAGGCCTCCCGTGAAGACTCGGTGGAGGGGGCTTGGTGACACTGGAGAGCCAGGTGGGGACCAGTCACAGAGTGACGTTCGCTTTTTGTTTTGTGGACGATGGGAAGTGTCTGAAGGGCTTTAGAGCTAGGCTGAGAGATTGTGCCTCGTAGAAATACCACTCTGAAGAGTGTGGAGCTTCGGTCTGAAGGAGAATCAGTCACAGTCAGGGTTGCCAGATTGCATGGTGGTCGCAGTTCCCAGGCCTGGGGCATGAGGTCTGTGGGTCCAGGCTGGGCGTGATTATTCACCTGGTCCTGTTCGGCATTTCACCTGGGAGGCATCGAGAACTACAAATAAATTTTTGATAATGGGAATAATGAGAGCGATGACAAAGGAAGAGATATGACAGGAAAAGGAACAGAAGAGAGAATAATAGTATGAGGACAGGGGCTGGGGATTTAGCTCAGCGGCACAGTGCCTGCCTGGCAAGCACAAGGTCGTGAGTTTGATTCCCAGTACCAGGGGAAAAAAAACAACAAGAGCATGAGGACAGGAGAGAAGATGGTCCTGGAACAGCCATTGGTATACTGGTCAGTGCCCCTTTACTGTGATGAAATACCTGGGGCAGTTAACTTACAAGATGAAAAGGTTTATTTTGGCTCAGTGTCCTCAAGTTTCCAATTGAAGATCACATAGGCTCATGGCTTCGGACACATCATGGCAGGAGCTCTGGGGCTGAGCGAACCACATGCAACATGAGCCAGCAAACAGAGAGAGACTAGAGACCAAGATCCCAGCGCCCCCCACAGCACACCTTCTGAGTGACCTAAGGACCTCCCCCACCTCTCAAAGGTTCTACCACCGCCCAGTGGCATTCCCCTGGGCACCAAGCTTCTAACACATGGACCTCTGGGGACATTCTTTAAACCCTAGCAGTTTGGCGCTAACAAGGTGAAATTTAGTAAAGTATTGTACTCAGAGGGGAAATGAATCGGTGTTGAAGTCCAGGACTAGAGAAACTTGACTTAAGAGTAGTTCATGGGAAACCGACCTAGAAGTTAGAGCTGACAGCAAGTTCTCTACGTGACTGCTGAGGTTATCGGCGCAGTCCCGGTTACATTAATGAAAATGAAAGGTCAGTAGCACGAGTAAAGGGTGGTCCCCTGAGCAGGGGCCACGCTGCTTCTGGCTCATCTTTATAGGACTAGCAACAAATGAGCAGAGTCCAGAGGAGAATCCCCTTCCCATCTGCTATCCTTTCTTGGCCTTTCGGGGTTTTTGTAGACTTAGCCCTACCTTAGTAGCCCCTGGGATCCCTTTTGGAGTCTCCGACATTTTCTCTGGTGCTTATTTATTCAGACCGGTTTTTTTTTCTCATTATCAGGTTGTCATTTTCCCAAACACATTAGATGCCAAAGCCAAATATAACACTGGGAAGCCCTAGTGTTACCAGTATGACTATGGTTAATGATTATTCTTCTGGAAGACAGGAGAAAAGGCTGGGTATTGTGGTGTCTGCCTATGATCCCAGAACTCTGGAAGGCTGAGGCAGGAGGGTCACCAAGTTCAATCCCAACCTGGGCAATGGAACAACTTAGTGATACCTTGTTTCAAAATTTAAAAATTAAATAAATCAAAAGACTGGGGATATGGCTCAGTTGTAGAGCATCCCTGACTTCTGTCCCAGATACTATCAAAGAAGGAAGACAGAAAGAATCAAATGAGCTGTATCACAGCTTCAGCTTCACCTGCGTCGAAGGTCTTAGGAAGAAGGAGTCAAATAACCAATACCCTGGCAAGGTGGCCATGCCCAGAAGAGGAGGCCAGCAATTTTAGCCAGGATTTCTCAAACCTGGCCCTGTGAATTGTATTGTGCCAGTCTGTAACGTGGGCAAAGGGGACTTTCGCAGTAGCACTACTTTCACAGTTTTAAGGTCAGACGCCTTGACTTAGTCACTTTCCTGTCTTCTTCCCAGCTGCTGCCCAGCACCCAGCACATATCAAGGGACTCAATAAATCGTTTTTGGTTTTGGTTTTGGTTTTATTTGCGGTGCTTGAGATCAAACCCAAGGCCCCACACATCTGGGAAAGTTCTCTGTCACTGAGCTATATTCCTAACCCAACAAACCATTCTTTGATAAGTGTTCTTCTGTGGTTCTGTGTTTTCTTAAACAACCCCCAAACAATAGCAGCGCTGCTTCAAACAGATGATCTCCAAAGTGTTCCTCAGTCTTGGCCCAAGTGTAAATCTGGGGCTGTTCCCTTCCTGGAAAAAGTCAACTGTGAAGAAAATGTCAGCTGAATTAAACGGCAGGCTTTGGGGATGTTAATTTTCACTCTGGTGCAGGCTTCATCTCTAATCGTAGCCTTCGTGACACCAGTCCACAGGTGGACTTTCCAGACTGCCTGAGGTTGGCGTTCCTATGCATGGCCTTGAGTCACTGTTCTCGTGAATGTTAAACTGTGAGAAGTGAGCAAAAGTTCACTGGCTGCTCTGGGGGCTTTGTGAACTCAGTCTTCACCCCCAAAAGGCTGAGTCTAAGCTAGTCTCATGGCTAAAGCTGTGTGTTAGCTTTCCATTATTGTAACTAAACACCTGAGTCAGTCACCTTGTGAGGAGGAAACGTTTGTTTGGGCCCTTAGACTCACAGGTTCAGTCCAGAGTTGCTTCTACCCATTGCCTTTGTTCTTGTAGCAAAGCCGTGGGACACCTAGGAGCATGTGGCAGGGGAAGCTGCTCACCTCCTACCTACCAGGAAGTAAAGACAGGAAGGGGAGGGACCAGGCTCCCAGTATGGATTCTGAGGCCACGCCTCCAGGGACTGATTTCCTTCCACTCACCTCCACCTCCTCAAAGTTCCACGTCTCCCAGTAAAGCTGCAGTCTGGGGACCAGGCCTCTAATACATGGGCCTTTGGGAGCCACTTCTAAACCATACAAGCTGTCCGTTCCCTGGATTTCTGTGTTTGAGAAGGGGTTCAAATCTAGACCGGAAACATGGAAATCCCACTCCAGCCAGTAGCCCGAAACTCAGTCCACTTAGTAAGGTGTAGAATCGGGTAAGTTCAGGTGTAGAATTGGACGGAGTTCAGTGGTTGCTCGTGGTGACAGGCTCTTGCTTGTACACTTGAACCAAACCTTGGACTAAAATGATTTTAGAAGATTTAAATGAATATAATTATTTATGATACACATTTTATGGAAAAGAATAGTCCCTTTTAAGGACAAGTGTATCCCACTAAATTTGATAAGGATGCCTCTGTTTCTAAATATTAGGGTATTCACGTAGACTTCATTGGTGTAAAATTAAAGGCTTACATAAAGGTAGTTACCGTGGACAACTTCTGGGAAAACACTCCCTTGGGTTGTCTCCCCGCCCCCCAGCCCCTCCGCAGAGCACTTTCTCACCTGCTCACTAGAACTAGGCAGTAGGGGGCAGTAGTGAGCACCTAACCAGACCTCAGTCTTTGGGACACTAACCGGGTTCCCCTCTTGCCAGCGTCCTCTCCACTCAGCACTTGGCCTTATTTTCACATCTCCGAGTCTCTGAACTAGTAGTTTCCCGCAGTTAAACGCAGGACCTGTGGTTTTAACGCAGACAAAAGCCCCTGTCATAAACACAGTGCTGCCATTTTCTGGAGATTGCCCGGAGCTGTCGTGTGTGTGCAGCGTGGTGCTGAAAACCTTGCAGATAGGTTCCTACTGCACGGACCTAGTAAACAGTGTAAGTATAGTCTCTGCTTTCTCTCTCTGCACGGTGAGAGGATACGGCGCACGGTCCGAGCGTCCGCCTGTGACCGCTTTCCATTGTCAGCACAGGGTTTCCTTGCCTGTAAGTTTTGCTAAGTTATCTTCAGCCTGGCGTAATCACTTCGTCACATTCTACCTTGCAACAGTGAGTGCTAAGGGAAGCATGTGTAAGTCATTGTTCTCCTAGCGAGACGCAAGATTTTTCACAGCCAGGGTGGTGCCTGTTTTACCTTTGTTTCCTCTCAGAGTTTATTCAATGCAATATTTTGTATTTAATAAGAGTTCAATAAAAAATTTGTCTAATTGGCCTGAATTAACATTTATAACTATGGAAAGAATTGTGTTATTCAATGATAAAAGGAAACTGTCTCATGGCAACTAAAGATATAATCTCATTGGATTTCTTTTTCTTTTTACTTGGAGTGTAGTGTTTTACATGGACATTGATTTTGTATTTGACTACTTCCCAGTGTGCCTGAACAAAGCTTATGGAAGTTAAATTGCCTGCTCTGATTATTCCAGGTTCTTGCACAATAACTGTCCATTTGTTGCAGAGCCCAACTACAATAGACTCCTTTTTAACAATTGTAAATTACTTGAAAAGCACTGTGGTGGCTTTAGGTATATTTATTTCTACCTCTTCGTATCTGTACTGTACTGTAGCTAAGTATTCTAGAAATTTCATGAAACAAATATAAACCGTGGAAAAAAACATGTATGTATTTTCAAAGCCTAGGGTAATTCTTTACTTAAAAACCTTTAGGTCGCCAGTTATAAGAAAATGTGTGTGGATGTTGATGTCTTTAAAAGAAATTCTCTGAAGCTCTCTTATTTGTGCATGGCAGTGCAGGGAAGGTCAAGCATGAGTGGTTTCTGCAGAAAGACTCTGAAGGGGACACACCTTCGCTTATCAACTGGCCCTCCAGGTACCTCTCCGCGGAGACGCTGTGGCTTGTGTTCAGTGGCGCTGCTCCTTCCCCTCGGACTGCCTTGTCGTTCCGCGCATTCGCTAATCCTGTCTGTCTTCCTGACCTGTCGGAAGGCAGTGCACTTGGAATCCTGTGCACTAGTCCTTGTCTAGTCGTTTGCTTTTCTCCTCCCGTTACTCTAATCCATACTGGTAGTGCTTCTTCCTTTCTCGGACAATGTTTAATGCACTTTCTCACCTGCTCAGTAGAACTGGGCAGTAGGGGGCAGTGGTGAGCACCTCACCAGACCTCTTGGCCGCCAGTCTTACCAGTGTGCCCTCTTGCCAGTGCCCTCTCCACTCAGCCCTTCGGCCTCCTTGTTTTCATGTCTCCGTGTCTCTAAACCAGGGCGTGTGGTTTTAACAGCAGACAAAAGCCCCTATCATTTCATCTTTAAGCTTGGGGGCAGGGAGAGGCAAAGAAGTAGGCATGAATAAGTCCTTGGAAGCACAAAGCACTGTCTGGAGTTCCTAACAGTGACCTTTGTTCTCCGCTGAGGACAGCGTTCAGATTGTCTCTGATGAGAGGGGCACATTCCGCAGGAGCGCTCGGCTCCGTTTCAGTCCTCTTTTGATTAAAAGAGGGTGTAAGTATGAGAACCTCAAACACTGGCCGGTCTGTGGGAAACGACAACCCAGAGTGCTTTTCGCAAAGGTTGCTCGTAGTAACTACCTTTATGTGAGTCTTCTGAGTTCGCTTTACTGAAGTCTACGTAAATACCCTAATATTTAAAACTAGAGGCATCTTTGTCAGATTTACTGAAATGTGCTTGTCCTTAAAAGAGACTACTCTATTCCATAAAATGTACATCGTAATTACTTCTGCGGACTCATGTGGGGGTTCTGCACTTCCCCCAAGGAAGCACCTCTCCCGTCCCAAATGCCTCTGTACTTCTTAAGGGTGCTATCTAGTCAGTAATCCATTCTCAGTTTAAAGGGTTTCCCCTTTCTTACTACATGATATTTCAAAAAAGTAAAAATAAGAACTAGCTAACACGATAAAATGCTTACTCTCTGGAGGCAAAGCACTAAGTCATGAACTTTGCAGATAGCACATTACAGCTCTGTTACTTCCATTTGTATATTGAGGCACTGGGGATCAAACTCGAGTCTTTGTATATTGGAGGCAAGTGCCGCACCACTGAACTATGCCCCAGCCCACTTCCTTCCATTAAAACAGGAAGCCAGTGAGGTTTAAGAAGGGCAGGTAAGGTGCTTCCCCAGCCAAGGCTCTTAGGACCCACAACCAGCGTTCTTGGTTGCTTCATCTCTGCAACAGGGTTAGAGACCTAAGGCCCTAGAAATGGTTTGCCTTTTTGCTCTCAGATATTCAAATAACTCTACAAACAAATTAGAGGCATTTCTTGTTAGATTAATTTTTAACTAAGGACATAACACCAATTCCAGAGGCAGAGAATGTTCACTTCGTTACTTCTCTCTGCAAATAACTTTTCTCCAACACTCTTTGGGTGCCACCATTGTTAGTCATGCTGTCCAAGCCGGTCACCTGTCTTAGGGATGGATGGGTATGGCCTGCACTGCGTGAAAGGCCAGTGAATGTTTCAGTGAGTGCTTTGAAAGAGAGAGATGGTCATATCCTGAGCTAAAAAGATAAAAAGTGTAAGTAATCACAAATGGATTTACATTTCCAGGAAACAGTGAAATCACAGTGTTTGACCCATAGCTGTTTCCCTGGAGACACCACCTTCCCGTGCCCACAGTCCAGAGCCTGAACCAGAGCTAGAACGTGCAGAAACCGTCCTGGTTCAATGCACCCGCCCCAGAGTACCCTAATGCCTACCAGGCTGATCACTAATGAACCGTTCTGTGGCTTCCAGGCATTGACTAGTCAAAGGGACCCATCCTCAGGACAGTGTCTGACCCCTCTCAGGCTCAACGCGGGGCACAGTGAGTTTGGCCTCACACTGGCCGCGTATGCAAACTTGGAAAGTTAAAGCCACTTATGGCAAGTCCTGGGTTTCTATGTGAAACACCAAAACAGCTTGTGCTCCTGCAACGTGTGCTCTGTGAATTGATTACCCATCCCTGCAAGTCTGGGATCTGCACATGCCCTCTTCCTGTGTAGCAGTTACTGTCCATTGCAATTTAAACCCTTTTTCTTTCTTAAACCCTTTAAACCCTTTTTCTTTCTTAAAGAGTTAAAGTTAGAGAGAAACTGGTGAAAGAGGAGAGTGCACGCAGCAGCCCTGAACTTGCCTCCGAATCCTTCCCTCAGAGGAGACACCAAACAGTCCATTACCTGTCCTTTCAGTCAGAGAACTCGGCCTTCGATAGGGTCCCGCGAAGAGCAGGGAGCTCCAGGCGGCAGGCCAGCCGTGCCTATGTCCAGCCAGCAGATCCTGTTCCCATTGCCAAGCTGGTGACAGCGGAAACCCCAGAAAGTATGTCCGAGTGCAGCTGGGTGGGCTCAGCCACCCCGAATGTCATAAAGCCTCCCACCCCGAAGGTTCTAGAAGGTGAAAGAAGGGATGCCCCGGCCCTCCACATCTGCGAACCAAAAGCAGAAGATGTGCTCTTCCCCGACACTCCTGAGAAAGGCCTAGAAGCCCTGGTGACCTTGGAGGATGAGGGGCCTGCGCGAAGCCAGGAAGAGCCCTCCGGGAATGAAGACCTAGGTAAGGCCAGCATCAGCTTAGAAGCTCAGAAGGAGCCACCAGCCCAGCACCCGCCCGCCAAGCGGATGGGCCGGAGCGAAGTGGTGGTGTACGTTCAGAGTGAGCCTGTGCCCCAAGAGGCCACGTCCACGGAGCACAGGAAGGAAGCAGCCCCCAGGAAGCACAAGGTCCGCACCCGCTCGCTGTCTGACTACACGGGTCCCTCTCAGCTCCACGCCTGGAGGAGCAAGGACTCGGCCGAGCTGGAGATGCAGGCGTCCAAAGCCGAAGGGCCCTGCGCGGAGCTCGGCATGCTGGACACCAGGGTCTCTGTCGCCCAGCTCCGAAATATGTTTCTGGAGTCTGCCAGAGCCAACAAGAAACCCGACCTGTAGGTGCCCTTTCACACGCACTCCTGATGTTTCACTTGCACGTCCTTGGCACAATGACTCACTTCTCGACGTGTGTTGTGTCCTGCATTGAACCTTGTTAGCTTAGCTCACTAGCGTGTGCAAGCAGACTGTAGAGGAAATGGCTCACCAACTACCATCCTGCTTCTGCCTACTAATGGGGAACTGGAGGAGCGGGTCTGGGACGCCCCGCCGCGTCTGTGCATGGTACAGGCATGCAGTGGGGTCGGCCACCTGTGCCTGAGATGCATAAAAACCTCTGCTTTGTTCTCTCTCCCTGTCTTCCTGTTCCCCCTGCTGTGCACCCTCTGCCCTCTGATTCTAAAAGCCAATCACGGGCTGAGCCGTCACCCAGAGGAGCTGGCTTGCCCACCGGTATGGAGCGGGAGAGAGGGTCCCGGAAACCCAGACGCTATTTCTCTCCTGGTGAAAATAGGAAAACTTCTGAGAGATTTAGAACTCAACCTATAACCTCAGCAGAACGGAAGGAATCAGATAGGTAGGCATGTGTGCACGTAGTTTCGCAGTCCAGGAAAGTAGAAGAAATGATACAGGATTTTTCCCACCCTTAGTGGTTCTGACACTGCTTACGTAGGATGTTGGTGACTCCACACTGCTTCCATCTAATCTATAAGGAATAATATTTAGTTTATTTAAACGTATTTTTAAAGCATTTGACTTTTCCAGCAGGATCACATTACTTTCAGATAGTGAGAAATACATATTTTTCTTTTAATGTTAATTTCTTTCCGGTCCTGTTAAATTTGAATTGACTGTTCCCCAGATTTTCATTGAAAATAAGGAAGGGATTCTGTCTTCATTTTGCAAAGTGTCTGCTTGTGTTTAAGTTTTTATATTATCGCACGGGTTTGCGTAGACATGGTGAGGTTTGTCAAAAGCTTCATCCTCAGTCCCGTTTCAGTAGTGCGATCCTGGCTTCTCTTCAGGAGGTGTGCGCCTGGCCGAGACTGTGTGTACGCACCCACAGAGTCTGCTAACAACCGCACACCGGTCTCCACGGCTAGGGTAGCTACAGGCGGTGTGCCCTGGGACGGTTCACTGCATCTGTTTCTACTTTTGATGTGATGTTTTATGTGGATCTCCTACTCCCACCACTAATTTTCTATTATTATTTGCTAATGTCTTTCCTAGATACACTTCAAGTTCAGAAATGCCAACCGCTGAGGGCAAGTATCCCTTTTCCTTTTTCTTTGTTTTCATCTCATCTCAGTCAGATTTAAGTAATAAGAAGCTTGGCTTTTTGAGAGAGTAAGATTGTAGTATCTGGCAGTTTCATGCTTTTCTGCAAGGTTTTTTTTTCTGTGAATGTAATGAAATCAGGTTGAAATTTTTTGATGAGTTTACTCTTATTTTTGAAAAAAAAGTTAAGAAAATCCTAAAGCGAACGACATAAAAACAAATGATTTGAATCAGAAAACTTGGATTTTCTTGTTACTGCTGCTATTCCACAGGAGGAAGAATTCCTTTCATATACCTGTCCTTAGATCTCCATTAGTCAGATCACTGTCCAGACACAATTTGGTTTGATTTGGTTTGGTTCAGTTTGGTTTGGCTTGAATTGCAGGGGGAATTAGTACCTTTGAACTGAGCAAGAAGAACAGCCTCCCCCCAAGAGGAAAGTATGCCCTGTTGTTAATTTAGCTCATCTATTCTTGTCTGCAAGGGATTTCCAGGTCAGTCTTGGAAAATGTTCCAGAGGTGCTGCCTGTGTTTTCTAATGAGGCTCAGTTTTTGTTCCTTGGCTTTTCACAGATGAAGAAAAGGTAGATGAACGAGCCAAGCTGAGTGTTGCCGCCAAGAGGCTGCTCTTCAGGGTAAGGTGTGAAGAAGGGCATGGCCAGAAACCTAAGCCCCTAGGAATGGGGGCCTCTGGGCCTCTGGCTGCTAGACGCCCCTCCGGGACCTCCTCGCCTGACCCCCCTGTTGTCCTCTTATTCTGTCGTGCTAGACAGAATACCTGAGATAACCCACTTAGGGCTCCAACCTCTCTCGGTAGATGCAGGCTGGGGACAGAGGATCTTTGGGGGACTTTTCAGGTGCAAATGGTAGTGTAGGCTTTGGGGCACCCAGCCTGCGTATTCCCTGGATCCTGCAGAGCGGAGACATTTCACTGTCTCTATTCCTCTTCCTTTGCTTTACGAACTCCGCACTGTGTTTCCAATCTTAGGAAATGGAGAAATCATTCGATGAACAGAATGTCCCAAAGAGACGCTCCAGAAACGCCGCAGTGGAGCAGAGGCTGCGCCGCCTGCAGGACCGGTCTCACACCCAGCCCGTCACCACCCAGGAAGTGGTCATTGCAGCCACGTGAGTCTGCACGGGATTCCTTGGCCTCGGCCGGCCACAGTGTCTCCTTTTGTTTCAAAAAGAGGATTTCAGCATTTACGTTAAAGCCAGGTGATGGGAAGATGGTTTAGGTGAAAGCCAGAGAGAAGGGGGGATCTCAGGATTTTCTTCACGGCAGTCTGTCAAGCTTTGTCATAGGATGATGTAACTCCTAAAAAAATGTTAAGGAATTTTGGTTTTGCCCATGCACTTTGGTTGTTTCTATTTTTATGATGAAAAACATAAAATATGAAAACAGGTGAAATGCAATGGACCCCTGGCTTCAGCAGTTCCCCGTGCCTGGCCGGTCTTTCCCGCCCAGCACGCCCTCTACTTCTGCTTTCCTCCTGCATTATTTTCAAGCAAATCCCAGGCATCCTTTCACCCGTCAATAGTTCAGCCCATATCTCTAAAATAGAAAGAATGTTTGTTTTGTTTTTAAGTAATCAACCAAAAACATTTGAAAATGAATTGGCAGTTTGACGGCTTTCCAAACTACAGAACATCGGTTCTGAGCAGTGTATTCCAATACCTTCAGAATTGTTTCCCCAGAGTACAGTTCGTTCTAAGATAACGGCTTTCACCAGGTGAACACTTCCATGTGTTCCTGTGAACATTCCAGCAGGCCTCTGTGGTGAGGTTCAGCTCTGTGAACTGTGTTGGGTTGTTTTGCTGCCTTCTGAGCACTTGTTCCTCAGCTTCTCCCGCGGTCGTTGCCGTCTCCCGGGGCTGGCGATGGAACCCAGTCCTGCATATGCTAAGCGAGTGCTGTACCACTGAGCTACATCCCCAGCCTCAAGTTTTTGTTTTTGTAGATGAGTACATCCTCGTGACTTGTGATTAGGAACTCTTAGCAAATCAGTTTGTTTAAAAGAGTTTTTTTGAGTGGCTGGTGTAGGAAACAGATACCCAGGGGGGCAAAACAATAAACACAGGAACATTGACCCCTTTCGAGGTCCCGTGAGCGTACTGTGCTGCGCTTAAATTGTACGAGGTCACAGATTCTTTTCAGCATTCTAAAACATGGGCATAATCTACGGAGTTACTAATGGCTGATACTAGCTTTTTCCAGTTTTTAAAGTGAGGGTGTGTATTCTGAAAACAAAGGAAACCTTTTTCAAGCCCTGTCCCTATGCTGCTTCTGTTACTTTGGGGTGACCTCTGTCTCTCCTTTCCTACGTTGCTTTTCAAGTTATTTTGTGATTTTTGTTTTGCCCCCAAAGTAATTAGCAAATCATTTTGGTAAAAGATTCGATTTAACGTTGGTGAATGTCAATCTGTGCTTTCCTTAATGCTTCTTTTCTTCTCTCCTTACGGATGTTCCTTCTTTGGCAATTGCTTTTAAAGTGAACCTATCCCTGCTTCACGTTCTGGGGCCGCCCACCCTGTAATGGCGAGACTTCCCAGTCCCACTGTAGCTAGGAGCTGTGTGCAGCCTGCCAGGTACCGGACAGAAACAGCTGCATGTAGCCCCAGCGCCAAGGTGCTGGGCAGCAGTGCATCTGAGAGCCTGAGTGCCTCCGTGTGTGTGGCCACCGAGCCAGGGCAGTGCGTTGTTCCTGGGCCGTGTGGCATTGTGTTTTGTCGTGGTTGAAGGTACTGAAGGTCTGCATGGGAGAACACCGAATCCATCTGTTGGCGTCCTGTGTCGGCACTAGGATCGCACTAACTCACTTATCCATTTGTTTTGTTTCCATCTTTCAAAATAACAATCATTCCTAAGAAAATTTCATTCTTTCACCTAAATACTAGCACTTGCAGATGACTGGAAAAGTGCACATTAACATGTAACTGAAATTCTGATAAGACTCGGGTTTTTTGTAACATATTAGATACCAATACATCTATTTTTAAAAATCCTCCCTGTTTGTAATTTACAGAGAGACAGTACCATTGTATTTTAGGGTCGAGAAAGTAATTTGTGTTGTCTGAGCAGAGGTGTTTTGCTGTTATGTTTCAAATTGTGGTTATTTTAAAATTATATCCTCAAATCATGTAAAAATTGCCTTTGTTTTACTGTTGTGAGTCAAATCACAAAGGCTAAAAATAGGAATGAAAAAATTGAAATGACAGTGCCCAACCCAGAAGCGGGCATCTGTCAGGGAAGGGGGTGTTGTCCTCCCAGTCGGAGGCACTGGACTCCGGAAAGGCTGGAGACTCGGGTGGCCTTTCCACCGTAGCTGGTCCTGGACAGCCGGGGAGTCTGTGATTAACTGGGGTGAAGGCAGAACATACTTTTCACTAGGCTTCAGAAGGAGATTTGCCAGTGGCAGAAGGAATATTGTCTCAGAAACCTTTGAAGATACACAGTGATCACATAAGTTGGAAACCTTCCTTCTCTTCCCCCTGGAAACTAGAGAGATTTATTATCATTACTGTTATTGGTATTATCTGCAGTACCAGGAATCTACCAGGGCCTCACGCTTGCTAGATAAGAGCTCCACCACTGAGCTACACCCCCAGCCCTAACTGCCAGGATTTATAATAACCTGAAATTTTATCCACTTTTCAAGTTACTGGGAATTTGACTTAAATACCTTTTAAAAGAATGATAGGGACCTGATAGGGAAAAATATACTATACTGAAATAATGGTTAAAGTTACAAATTTGTATTTGCAACTGCAAATCAAGGGCCTGTGTTTCAGATCATGCTGTTCATAAATGAATATATTTTTAAATTAATTATTCCTGAAACACATCTTTAGGGAACGTTAACTATGCCCTAGTAGTGCCTTACCACTCCCTTTGTCTTTATTTATTATGATACTAACAACACGTCGTCTCTCTAAGGTAAAATAAACCCAAGCCAACTTTGGCTCCTTAAAGAGGAAATTTACTTTTTAGAAGAAATTCAAAACTAAGAATCTGCTTGTTCTAAAGCTGATAAGGCTAGTGTCCCAAGCCTGCCTCTGCTACTCATTGTCTTGTTTAGTAGCTAAGCAATTGCCTACCCCGTCCTAATTTTCATAGGGAAAAATAAGCCCACTGCAAAGTTAAGTGACACTTGGAAGAAAGTTAACGGAAAAAACTCGCGGTGGGCTTTTGTTGTGATCTGTACCGCTGACTTTTCATCCTCTCCTTTCAGACTGCAGGCATCTGCTCATCAAAAAGCTTTAGCCAAGGACCAGGCAAATGAGGGCAAAGATTCCGCTGAACTAGGAGAACCTGATTCCTCCAGTCTGAGCTTAGCAGAGAAGTTGGCCCTGTTTAACAAATTGTCCCAGCCTGTCTCAAAAGCAATTTGTACCCGAAACCGAATCGACATGAGACAGAGGAGGACAAATGCCCGCTATCAGACCCAGCCGGTCACGCTCGGCGAGGTGGAGCAGGTGGGTGCTGGTCTGTCGTCCCGGCTGGTGTGTGTGCTTCAGTGAAAGCGCAGGTGTTACTCCTAGGTCAGCGCTGTGCGTAAGGTGATCTCGTGCTAGACTGTGTTGCCGAGGGGTGACTGGGTGATCCTTGCATCCCTAAGGAGGGTAACCATGCTAAGCGTGTTTCTCTTGTCTTCAAAACTCGCTTGCAAAATCATGTGGAAGGAGGCCGTTTTGGAAAGAGAAAGTAATAACTACAACCTACTTTGCAGCCAGAGGGGTTTGTTAGAGGTGTGTTATGTAACCCCGTCCGGGCCGGGTTTCTAGTGAGATAGACTGCCTGTAACACAGCATTTCGGGCTGCAGCTCAGCACTTCAGTGGTGCTTACTGGTTATCTGCGTCCTGCCAGGTGCAAAGCGGGAAGCTCATCCCTTTCTCGCCCACCGTGAGCACCTCTGTGTCCACGTCGTTCTCCACAGCCACCCCCATGTACGCAGGGGAGCTTCGGACAAAGCCCCCCGCCGAGGACAATGCAGGTGCCACTGACGCTAAGTTTCCTCCCCTGGTGGAAAATTCAGACTCTCCAGTTAGAAGCATTCTGAAGCCGCAGGCGTGGCCGCCTTTGGTGGAGGGGAGTGGGAGCAAAGGAATGTCGAGGGAATGTGCAGAGACGGAAGGCCAGGGCGCTGTGCTGGCCGGGGACAGTGGCGGCAAAACGCACAGGTCCTCAGAGGAAGCAGAGCCGTCCTCAGCGCCCCTGGGCCGAGCCAGGGAAGGAGACAGCCACCAGGAGCCCAGACACACCGTTTCCAGGAAAGGAAGCCTGGAGCTCGCCGCTGCCCCTGCTGCCCACCGTGGTGATGAACTGAAGGAATTTTTCAGGGGGAAAGGCAGTGCACAAGGAGGCCTGGGCGCGGAGGACGGGCCGCCCTTCGAAGACAAGGTGGACGCGGAGAATGCCCCCAAAAGGAGGTTTTCGCTCAGAGGTAAATTACCGCCGCGCCGGGAGTTTCAGGAACAGCAGGGTGTTTCGTCCCCGCCTGATTTGATGCCCGAGATGGTGATTCCGTTTAACTGAGCTGTAAAGGCAGTTTACAGCTGGTGTGGGTCAGGAGTTCCGTGAATCATATTCTCCCCAGAGAGACGCTCTTCCCCTGGAATCTGGTATGCACAGTCCAGTCTTGAGCAATAAAATGTCGGAAACCCTTTTGCACACTTTGATAAGAGCTTCTGGCGGCTGTGACTTGAGCTCTATGACAGCTTTAATGGCACTGCCATGGCTGACGGCCGATGGCACAGGGCTTGGGTGTGCACGGGGGCCGGGGACCTGGGCCAGTCTCTAATTTCTAGGCTGCTTTTTTTTGTGGGAGGAGTTACTGAGGATTGAACCTAGGAGGCGCCGAGCTCTATCCCCAGCCCTTTTTATGTTTTATTTTGAGACAGGCTCTTGCTAAATTACCCAGCCTTACCTCTAAGTGTGATCCTCCTGTCTCAGCCTCCCAAGTAACTAGGACTACAATCTTGGGTACTCTTTCTATATTCTTGTTTTACAGGCTGCATAGGGCTTTAATCTCCATTCTACTTCATGCAGTGACCCTGTAAATTGCAACAGGGGTGTAGGCTGGTGGGTATAGCACATGTGAAATGCAAAAGTTTTGTTTTGGAGAAGTAGAAACACTCCATGGTGTGTGGTGAAAGCCAGCATCCTATGTCCTGCCCATGGGAGAGACACGGATGTCACAAAACGGTGTGCTGTGTCGGAAGTTTGCACGAAGCCATGCGGCCTGGCTGAGCCGCCACGTGCCCACAGACGGGGGACCAGAGCTGCCCTGTCTGGCGAGAACTGCTGAAAGAGTGTCCCTGGAGGGGGAATGCTGAAGCTGCTTCTTCTCTTCCCAGCAGCAGAGTTTGGGGAGCCTGCCCCCGAGCAGGCTGGGACCGCCCCCACTGGGAAACCCATTGCTCCAGCGGCAGCCCCCAGTTCCTGGAAGCAGCAGGATTCCTCCGAGCAGCTACAGGAGAAGTACTGCAAGAGCCCGAGTGCCATGTTTGCTACTGGAGAGGTCAAAGTGCCAACGGGAGAGGGCGTCCTTGACTCACCCAGCAAAACGATGTCGATTAAAGAGAGGTAAGGGGAGCTCGTGCTGGGAGAGGAGTTCGCCTGGGCGGGAGCTTGCAAGCTGGCTGTAGGAAAAGACTTGCGTAGTGAACCAAGAGCTGAAAGCACAGGCCAGACTGCAGAGATGTGCTGAGACAGGAGAGTGAGCGGGGAGTGGAGGTGTCTGAGGGCGACCTGCGTTCACCAGCGCCTCGTTCACCAGTGCTAACGGGAGCCAGTGTGGATAGAGACAAACAGAAACAGATTTTTGCTTGGTTCATTTATTTGTAGTCCTAATTCCTTCCTTCTTTCCTTCCTTCCTTCCTTCTTTCCTTCCTTCCTTCCTTC